TTGTCTCTGTCGTGTTCGTCGTCACCGGCAGCTTCTCTTTGGTTGCCAGCGAGCTCGCTGACCTTTGCAATCTTGATTCACAGAGGTGAGGTTCATCTCTGTTGGCCGGAAGTTGTAGCGATCGCTACTTATTGATTCGGCCATTACTTGTGATTGGGTCGCCGTCGTCGCCGCCGCGTTATTCCCTGGCGTCTATGAAGGTGTGAAGAAGAAGACCTCTGTTTGGCTACACGGTTATAGCTACTTCAACCCTGGTTTGCTAAATTTGGATAGCCCAGGTCAGTCCAACCCGTTTGACCAGGTCCGTTGACCAGACTCGACTCGATCCCAGATCTGACCTGGCTCCAGATCCGACCCGTTTTCCAGGTTCGGCCAGAATACAGAATCTGTTTTTTTTTTTTTTTTTCCTCTTTGTTTTGCTGGATTCAACATGGCATCTAGTTCAGATTTACTTTCACCCACGAACAGTCTTAATTCTCCCATGACTTCAGTTAAACTCAATGGGAAGAATTACATATTGTGGGCTAAATCTGTTACCATTTTCCTCAAAGGCAGAAGTCTTGGTTCTCATTTAACTAAAGAGAAACCCAAGGCAATTGATGCCTCCTTTGATGCATGGAAAAAGGAAGATACTCAGATCATCTCTATGATGATAAACAGTATTGAACCCCAAATTAGTTCAACTCTACTTTATTTGGATATAGTCAAGGAGATATAGGACAGATTGCAGCAATTGTATTCTGGGACAGGTAATATCACTCGTGTTTATAAGCTCTGTAAGCAGTACTTCAATCTTGAACAAGGTACTCAAAGTATAGAAGAGTATTATTCCAAAGTTATAGGAGTCTGTGAAGAGCTGAATATGTATCAACCCATTACAGGTGATGTTCGCAGTATGCAACAACAGCGTGCGGACTTTAATGTTGTCCGTTTTCTTACTGGTTTATCATCAACATATGAGCCTTTTCGTTCACAGATTATAAGCAGTCCAACACTTCCATCTCTTGCTGAGGTGTTTTCTAGACTTTAGCATGCTACACTTGTAAGTGATACCTCAAATTTGAATACTGGATAGAGTGGTGAGCGTTCAGCATTAGTGGTTTCAAAGGGTGAACATAATACTTACCGTGGAGGTCGTGGGGGACGCTCCACACGTGGTGGTCGTGATTCACGTAGAGGATGTGGCCGTGGCAGGGAATCCAGAAAGTGTACCCATTGTGGTCTTTCTAATCATACTGTGAACTTTTGTTGGGATCTTCATGGGAAACCATCTAGTTATGCCAATCAAGTTTCCTCTTCTCCGAATGATGTTGCTTTTGGATTGCACAACGTAGCTGAATCAGGTACAGTTCCTGTTCCACGGGATGAGTATACTCAGTTTTTGTCTTATAAGCAAGCATCTAATTCATCTTCCACGGCTACTTTTGCCCAGTCAGGTACTGCATACACATGTCTATTGTCTTCCACTCATAGTCCTTGGATCATAGAAATTGGAGCATCTGATCATATGACCGGATGTTCTTCTCTTCTATCTGATTTTCATTCTGTACATCCTTCTCAAAGTGTTACTCTTGCTAATGGTTCATCCACTCAGGTTTCAGGTTTGGGGACAACTCAACTTAGTGATTCATTGTCTCTCTCGTCTGTTTTACATGTTCCGCAGTTTCCCTTTAATTTAATGTCTATCAGTTGCTTACTAAATCTCTCCAGTGCTCTGTTACATTTGATCCTACTTCTTGTGTGTTTCAGGATCTCAAGACGAAGAAGATGATTGGTACGGGGCATGAAGCTGGTGGCTTATATTATTTTGATTTCGAACCTTCTCCTGTGGCTCTTCAGTCTTCTCTATCTCCATTCCAGTGGCATTGTCGCCTTAGTCACTCGTCACTTCAAGTTTTGAAGCATCAAGTTCCTAGTCTTCATTTGAAATTCTTGTCATGTGAAGTTTGTCAACTTAGTAAGCACCATCGCGTGTCTTTCAAGTCTAGGGTTAATAATCGTGTCTCTAGTCCTTTTCATTTGGTTCATTCAGATGTATGGGGTCCAATAAAACATTCTTCAGTCAATAAATTTCATTATTTTGTGACATTTGTGGATGATTATTCTCGCCTGACTTGGTTGTTTTTAATGAAAGATCGTTCTGAGTTATTTTTAATTTTTCAAAAATTTCGCAAAGAAATCAAAACTCAGTTTGGATGTCCAATTCGTATTCTACGTTTTGATAATGCTAAGGAATATTCTTCAACTCCATTTGATATATATCTTAGCGATAAAGGAATTATTCATCAAAATTCATATGTTTATACTCCATAACAAAATGGAGTTGCAGAACGTAAGAATCGACATCTCTTAGAAGTAACTCGTGCTCTTTTGTTTCATATGCGTATGCCTAAACGGTTTTGGGGTGATGCTGTTCTTACTGCCTGTCATCTTATTAACCGTATGCCGTCATCTGTATTAGATGGCAAATCTCCACATTCTATTTTATTTCCTGATTCTCCCTTGTTTTCTCTTCCTCCTAGGGTTTTTGGATGTGTATGTTATGTCCACAATCTTAGTCCTGGTTTTGATAAATTAGACCCACGTGCCACAAAGTGTGTACTCTCGATCTCTTAAAGGTTATCGTTGCTATAGTCCTGTTTCTCAACGGTACTTTATTAGCGCAGATGTAACGTTTTCTGAGTCCATCCCATATTTTTCAGATACTGATTCATTTCTTGATATCACTCTTGAGTTGCCTCCTTCTGCCGTTCCTCTTCCCTCACTCTTTCTTCAACCTCGATCTCTTGTTCCTTCATCTACCCCGTTACAGGTGTACACTCGAAAACCAAAGCCATCTGTTGTCGTGCCTCCTCCATCGTCTTCAGAGTCTTTGGATCCGGCGCCTTCCACTGTGTCTGATTCCTTGCCTATTGCACTTCGTAAAGCTCCTCGCTCATGTGTTACTAACCATCCCATTGCTCATTATGTCTCTTATAATTCCTTTTCGCCATTATTCTCCTGTTTTTCCTCTAAGTTGTCTACTACATTCGTTCCTAAGACTGTGCAGGATGCGTTGTCTGATTTGGGCTGGAGGACAGCAATGCAAGATGAAATAGATGATTTGCATAAGAATGGCACGTGGGATCTTGTTCCATTACCTCCGGATGTCAAACCTGTTGGTTGTCGCTGGGTATATACTGTGAAGTATCTTCCAGATGGGTCTGTTGATCGTTTAAAAGCACGTCTTGTTGCCGAAGGTTATACCCAAACTTATGGTATTGACTATGACGAGACATTTTCTCCCGTTGCTAAGATTTCTTCTATTCGTGTTTTGATTTCTCTTGCTGCTAATAGATATTGGCCTCTGTTTCAGTTAGACGTTAAAAATACCTTTTTGCATGGTGACTTAGCAGAAGAGGTTTATATGAGCAACCACCTGGGTTTGTTGCTCAGGGGGAGTATCTTCACACTGTTTGTCGCCTTAAAAAGGCTCTGTATGGATTGAAACAATCTCCACGGGCTTGGTTTGGAAAATTCTCTGAGGTGGCGTTAAAATTTGGTCTTACGAGATGTCAGACAAACCATTCGGTGTTTCACCAGCGCACTAAAGCTGGCTTCATATTTCTTGTGGTGTATGTAGATGATATTGTGATCATAGGTGATGATTCTGAAGACATTGCTAAGTTGAAGTTGTTTCTGCAATATTAATTCCATACTAAAGACTTGGGTAAACTTAGGTATTTCTTTAGCATTGAAGTTACTAGATCCAAGAAGGGTATAAGTTTATCCCAACGCAAATATGTGTTGGATTTATTAGAAGAAACAGGTATGTTGGGTGGTCGTCCGGTTGATACTCCTATGGATTCAAATACAAAACTTGTATCTGATGAGGGTGATCTATTTAATGACCCGGACAGGTTTTGTCGCCTTGTTGGGAAATTAATTTATCTTACTATCACTCGACCTGATATTTCATATGCAGTCAGTTCATGGGAGTTCCTAGAATGCCACATTGGATTGTTGTTCTTCGGATTATACGATATCTCAAGAAAGCTCCAGGTTTAGGGTTACTATATAAATCAAATGGCCATCTCAGGGTGGAAGGTTTTACAGATGCTGACTGGGTTAGTTCTCCTTTAGATAGGAGATCTACTACAGGCTATTGCACATTTGTAGGAGGAAATCTTGTTACATGGCGAAGTAAAAAGCAGACGGTGGTAGCTCGATCTAGTGCTGAAGCTGAATATAGGGCAATGGCCCATACCACTAGTGAGTTGACATGGATACAACATTTTCTAAAAGAACTTGGGTTGATAGTTGAGGCTCCTATTCCATTGTTCTGTGATAATCAAGCAGCAGTTCACATTGCATCAAATCCTGTGTTTCATGAGAGGACCAAACATATTGAAGTTGATTGTCACTTCATTCGAGAAAAAATATTAAGTGGGAGCATCTCTACTCCATTTGTGAAGTCTGAAGATCAATTAGCTGATATGTTTACCAAAGCATTGGGTCATAACCGGTTAAGAACTATCTGTTCCAAGCTGGAATTATTGATATATATTCTCCGGCTTGAGGGGGAGTGTTTGAATGTTATATATATATATATATATATATATATAAGTGTTGGGCCATTATGTAATTACAGAAAGTTGATAGGGGCCCTTGTGTAGTTAAGTAAGACTTGTACTCTTTATATAAGCCTTGTACTCTTTATTAGGTTTGAGGATGATGAATATATACAAGTCTGAAACTTCTCTCTCTCTCATATATATAACTTTGAACACACATAAAGAAAGGCATGCAAAAAATATTATTACACACAACAAGCTAAGCTTGCAATGACCACTTGTGGGTACTTTATTTACTTACAATACAACACATAACTCTCATAAAGAGAGTTTACTTTATAAATCTAATGAAAGTTAACATACGGATGCCTCAGCAACCTTTGAACCTACCACAGGGAATTTACAGTACATAAAAGGTGCAACAAACTTGTGTTTTTCTGGACATGTCTATGCATTTGGCTCTGCACATTTATGTCCAGCGCCGGGGCTGCCACCTGGGTTCGTGGGTCGGAAATCGTCCGAGTTTTCTGCAAAAGAATAGGTGACACCAGGAACGTTACGTAAAATTGGTTCAATATCATCTTTGTATTTATGACCAACACCGGGGCTGCTACCTGATGATGTAGGTCGAAAATCATCCTTATATACCGCAACTGAATCACCAAATCCAAGGCTACGATTAGATGTCCTGGGTGAAAAGCTTTCTTTCTTGCCTGAGGCAGAATGGTCAACAGTAGGAGCTTGACCTGCATATGGGGCTCGAATGTCATTTTCATGACCTACAGAATTTTGGTGTAAGTTGATAGCTTGGTTGCCATGATTTACCATTTCCCTTTCATCATGAATGAAATTATTCTCCTGTTTCTTCATTGATTTAAGTTGCCTTCCCTCAGTAAATAGAATATCGTTGCACGTAAATAGTGCAAGAAGAAAAGCAATGGCGTAGAATGGTTGGTTATTGTGATACCCCCTAATTTTGGAACACGGATTGATCAAGTCCGCGCACAAAATCAAGGGATATCAAAACAATTTAAGTATTTAACAAGCACAGAATACAAAGATGAATAATAAAGAATAAATAAACCGCTGAAGAAAACTAATAAATAAATATTACTTAATGATTCTCCAACAATTACAATTCGGAAATCCCATAACTCAAGGACCCCTTAAAACATTATCCAATAATCCAATACTATTTAAAAGTACACAAGATGAATAGACGAATGACAGTCTCCCAGCTGCGGATCCTCAACCTCGAGACTGGAACCTCTAATAACCTGAAAAATAAATCGTGGGTTAAACCCTACGAGCAAGTTCACTCTACCAGGCCTCTGAAAACCAATAAGCAGATCATCTCTGATCAAAACCAAACCTAATAAAGTTTTAGCTTTAATAAAGCACGATATACATGTCTATATATAATTATATATACTATACTAATCACATCCATTAATAGGTTTATTAAATTTCCATACCTATTAAATAATTATTAAAATAATATTCATACCTAGACCAATCTACCATTTCATTTTATAAAAACTCCTTTGACCTTAATCCCATCCTAGTCAGTTGTTTAATCATTTAAACAACAAATTATAATAAAAGAAATACTCTATTTAATCCCAACCCGATAATGATTTTAATTGTTTAAATCACATATCCAAAATCCAAGTTTTGACAAATCATCCACGTCTTCCCCAATATTATTTTACTAATGTAAAATAATACACTAACCAGTAAGTACTAAACTATTCTCATTTAAGAATATCTAACCCTAATCCAATCCATACATACAACAACCATAGATGATATTTTAATCATCTAACACATAATAACGTAATTATGCTTTGGCAAATCAACCATGCCATTGTAAATATTTTTATTTATATATTGGCAATTCAACCATGCCTCCATAAGTATATTTATTTATACATTGGCAATTCAACCATGCCTCCGTGTATGTATATTTATACATTGGCAATTCAACCATGCCTCCACAGGTATATTTATTCATACATTTAATTAGCAATTCATCCATGCGTCCCATGTATGTATTATATTCATACAAATATTTATGTAATATTTTTAATCCTTTGGCAATTCATCCATGCCTACATCTTAACCATGAATCACTTGAAACTTAACAATACGCTAAATCATACATAACTATCTCATGCATATTATACGCATATTATTGATTTAATAATCAACCTATCAAGATACAACAAATAAGAATGATAATATTAATCATTTTAAATGATATATATTTATATATATACCTATACATATATTATTTAATATATATATGTGTGTTTAACACCTTCCTTAATAATCCTTAATTTTTTAAAAATCAATATACATATATGTATATATATATATATACATATATTCATCCTTCTATACAACTCATAAACGAATTAAACTATATATACGCATATATAAATATATATATATATATATATATATATACCCACACACACTTCCCTCCATAATAAATTATTAATTTATTATATTTACACAAATTAATGCTACTAAATATGTCAGAAATAGTTTCCCCTAAATACTCCATACCGGTTTAAATAGTTTTCCGACACCGTCTCACTAAAACGTAAATATCTCTTATTAGGATGAGAATCTGATAATGAAATTGGTACCATTGGAAAGAGGACGAAAAATCCTTGAATTTGAGCTCAAGAATGACCCAATTTCGATTTAAAATGATTAAGTTATGACTGTTTAAATTTCGAATAACAAAACAGGAATAATAATATGTTGAGCTCAATGGTTACTGTGAGCGCAACCGCACTGGATTAAAGTATGACACGTGGCGTACTATGATTCACTGGTGCATCAACTCTGATGGTGCGCACCGCACCAGATCCTATTCCTTTGATCAGATCTAATCTAGGATCCCTTTATGTGGTGCACTGAGTCTCTATGGAACCGCAACACACCAAATCATCCTCCAATCATCAACTCCAACTCAATGGCCCAGATCAGTTTACCCACCAACTTACTGTATGCCGCGCCACATAGGATTATGATACCTTGTTCATACGCCGATACATAAGCCGTATATATAAAATATATAAATAGGGTATATATATATATTTCAAATAAATAAAGAAAATAAATCTAATAAATTCCTTTTAAAAATAGAAAAATACCAGAAAAATTCCAAAAAATTACAGAAAATTCCCATAAATTCTAGAAACACTAATTAACCCTCTTGGGTCTAGATCTAGCCTATTGATTGATGTAAACAAAATATACAACACATATATACAACAATAAAAATCCAAAATTCCAAAAAATAAAATATAATAATTCATATTTTAAATATTCCGTTCTAACCATCATTTAATCAATAAATTTAACCTTAAATTTTGATACTTAACATGAAATCCTTATGAGTTCTAAGAGGAAAGTTAGAGAAGAACTCGCCTGAAGGTTTCGAAACGAAACCGACGCTTCAAGCTTTAATTATCTCTTCCAATTCCGACGTCCTCCTTTTCAGATCCGACCTCCTCATTGTCAGCCCTTCTTCTTCCTCTCTCTCTGTCTATTTTATTTTTCTAACGTGTAAAACCTTTAACCCTAAAGCTTTATGTGTATTTTTATACACATTAAATTCCAAATCCTATTCCAACTTGTATTATGAATTAAAATTATAACCTTTAAATAATTTATATCTATAAACATATATTATATTACATATATAAATATATATTCCTTCCATAATTAACCCATTAGTTAATTAAATCATATATACATATATATATCAATAAATATATATCTACATATATATTCCATAACAACTATTAATTAATTATATATATATATATATATATATATATATATATATATTTATTTATAATTAATACAAAAAGTGATCATTTAAATAATTAAATAACCACGGGCCTTCATTAATTATCCTAATAAGGTTTCATACAAGCCCAAGACCACGTCTTTTGGTCCAACTTTCCTTAAACCCAATCCAATTAATTTAAATAAATAAGATAATTAATTAAATACTGAAATTAAAATAACTAATTACATGAAGTACATAAACAAACAAGAATTTACAACTAAGTCACACAATACCAATAAAATCAACACACTAATAATTCAATCAATAATCAACCACACAAACAATCAATCATCATACATAATCACGAAATATAACTTAATTAAAATAAGATAATTAATCTAGCACTCAATAAAATAAAATAAATCATTGAAGAATAAAATAAAGTAATTAGTCCTAATTAATTAATCCTTTAAAAATATCGGGGTATTACATTCTTCCCCCCTAACAAAAGGAATTCCGTCCTCGGAATTCACGAATCCATGAAATAAAAACTTTGATTATTTAATTTCAAATTTCATTATTCCTTTTATCCGTGTGGAAATTAACCCTTCCACACATATTCATAACTAGCAGACACATCTCGTAATTAGCTAATTCCATATTTATATAATTGATAAATATAAATACACACTAGAGACTCTCACTGGACTAAAGCAGTCTCAACCGGATAGTGGGTATCTCATGTAAAACGCACACAAAGGTGGTCACGAGTCCTTCTACCAGAGCCCACACATCCTTAAATCCAGCTACCCATCTTAATCGGCAATATACGCCTCCATCCTAACCACTGATCCTAAGACTCAAGCTCATATCGTGGCACATAACTATATAATCCATTATATCCAAACATAAAAGTAAACTATCCAACCATATTATTTCAATGGCATGCCATCCAACTATTCCGTTGACCTGACACGAATAAGTAGGACTTAACTCTATGGTTAATCCGTTCCCTTATAAATATATAGGTAGGACTTAACTTCTTTGGTTAATCCGTCCCTAAAATGCCACCGTCCCATACCGGTGCATTAAACCATACAATCCATAAATAAATAGGTAGGACTTAACTATTCCGTTAATCCATCCCTAAAATACACAAATAAGTAGGACTTAACTTTTCCGTTAATCCGTCCCTAAAATACAACCATATTATTTTAATGGTGCATAAATCCATAAAATTCATAATTGATGCAACATATATAATTATACATCAAATAAACCAGAAGTAAAGATAACAAGAATCCGACAAATACATGATTATATTATATGCCAATACATGATTAAATCACGTAAATATACATTGAAATAACATTAAGCAACAAAATCCTCCATTCACCACAAATTAATTAAAATTTCAAATTGTTCAAGTCCTTAGCATATTAATGTATATTATGCATTATGAAATTTTAACCAGTTTATTTCAACCATGTAAATCACCTAATTGGATCTAAATAACCTTGGAACACCCCAATCCTCAAAACAGAACTTAAAACCCAATTCTGCAATTACATTTATTCTCCCTGAAAAATACTGAGTGTAGAAGTAATAACTTCCCACCATTCAGTTATCTACACTATCTCACATCTGTGTTTACTATGTAAACGTAAACTATCGACATTCGTAGTCTATGTCATTCAATCAGTTTCTACAATAAATATTGTCTCACTGATTTAACAAACAATACTGGCACCTACGCTCTTGCCTCCTCAAATACCTTCCAAATCGATGTCCTACCGTTTGTAGATAAGACTAAACGATTTAACTATAGGACGCACTAACGGACCAAATTTAGAATACAAAGAATCCTAAACTTAAGCTCTAAGTAAAAGCGTACACAACGCGGAAGTCACACAACGAAAGACACCCTAGGGACACTTGAACCTGGAGTGCTCTGATACCAACTGTGATACCCCCTAATTTTGGAACACGGATTGATCAAGTCCGCGCACAAAATCAAGGGATATCAAAACAATTTAAGTATTTAACAAGCACAGAATAC